AGGTTTGACATGTACTTTGCTTTGTTGAATTTGCATTTATTCCCATTGCCACCATTCTAAAACCCACCTTCAGTCTAGCAGTAGCTGCAATTTAAAATTTTCTTCTTAAGTTCTGCTTCTTTCCTGTGATGGTGACCCAGGTCTTTGAGTAGATGAAGTATGAGATGAGGAAGGGAAACAAGCCCCAAATGGATTGCATGAGATTGAGGTCAGTAGCTATGTGTGGCTCTTGTTTGCAACTGAGATTCTAATGCATTTCAATTCCATTTTTAATGGATTTCTATTCTACGTCTACCTCTGAGTCAAAAATGTCCTTTGCCAAGAAAAAAATTTTCACATTTTTAGTTCCTCTTGCAGAATGGAAGTCGCAATGATTTGTAAAATATTAGGAAATATCAGGGCACTTTGGAACTATAGTGAAAGCTTATATATCTACGATGTTGACCAAAAACCACATGCTAATTACTTTCTAATGCAGTTACCTAACCACTATTTTAAGTTTCTTGAAATAGTCCCTGATTATTGCTTCTTCTATTAAGACTCAGTTTGCTTTCTGAAAAACAGAGCTGTAGATGTGCCTTTGAAAGATAATATATATGTAAAAATTAAGACTAGAAAGAGCAAAGCAGACAGAAAGAATGAGATATCTAAGTAAATAAAAGTGCCAACCATTACAAAATGAATGGCTAAAAATAGTCATTAAAACTCCAAAGACAGAGTGTATATAAAAGAAAACTACTTCTCCTTTTATTTAAGTATTGGAAATAAAGCCTTACTGACTAGATAATAAGCTAGATTACCAGTATACTGACTAGGATAAAGTTTAGCAGTAAAAAAATATGGCCATCTTTCTAATTCCAAGAATTAAACATCAAAATTGAATGAGGAACTTAAATTTCTAGCCAATAAACAGGGACTGGATTTATCTTCATGACTTCTGTAACTAAAACAACAGATAAATATGTGAAACGATGGTTTTCAGATATTGAGCAGCAGGTAGCACAGGACAATAACCAAGAGAGAAGGAACACAGGAGAGATGAGCCTTATGATAATACCAGCTTAGTAATAAAGTGACTTCCAGACCAAAGCTCAGAGAGATGGAACTCAAATAGGGCCTAGAGCTCTTACTGAATTAAAAGGACAGGGATCAGACTTCTGGAAAGTCAAAGCACCTAGAATTTATGGATGGGGTACCAAGCCTGGAAAAAGGAGTCACACAGAAATAGTATTCCAGAAATTTGAGAAGGAGGCTTTGGCTACTGACTGATCTACCAATGCATGAAGGGAACCTTCCCAAGGCCACAGGAAACACAGAAGTAAAAAGGGGCCTGGAAAGAGAAATGACATCTGTTTGTGCTTTGAGACCCAGTTGCTACATGGAGGAGGGGACCATTCCCAAGCAATGACTGGAGACCTCACTCCTTAATCCAGTCATGGCATGCCTTAGATTAGTGCCCAACTTTTATCTTGAGTCCAGGCATAATAATGGCCTGTACTACCACATGGGATAACTCTGCATGGTATGAAACATTTATGCATTCTAGAAAAGCATGAACCTTCAGCAGAGGACTGAGAGTGGCAGCTATACCCACATTCTGAGTCCAGATGTGGGCACCCTAGAACTCCTGGAGGCTAATAGATACTGCCATTACTGAGGCATAGTTTAGAGTTAAAGAAACAACAGTGAGAGTTGTTACTGTTAGTTTTTTTTGTTTTGTTTTAGAGATTTTCACTGTAGGGCGCGTGCGCTCGCCAGACAGACAGAGAGAGACATAGAGACAGAAAGCGAGAAATCACCCCCCGGGGGGATGGTCACGCCACAATCCCTTCTCCTCCATTCTCCTCTCGGGATCTTGGGCACGCACGCACACGCGCCCGGCGTGAGTTTTAAGCCACCGGGTCCGGGACACGAACCACAGTCGACTACGTGGGA